GTGTGTATATATATATATATATATATATATATATGTGCATTTTTTTTGTTGTAAAAAATAAAACATTTTGTTACGAATGCAACTTTTTTTCTGAAAAACTAGTTTACTCACCAATAGTTGTGATTTTTTTTTCCAGTTTAAAAATGAAATTTTCATAATGGCACTTTTGAATTACACAGACGATATCTGTGTAATTCAAAAGGAATAGTTTTTCTAAAAAAAAAAAAGAAAATAGGTGGCAACTTTGTTACCCTTCCCACCCTATACTCAATGTAAAAAAAATATAAACTTGAATTGTTATTTTGCACCTCAAAGAGTTAATTCTCAAAGTCCTTAAATTTATTTTTTATTTATTTTATTCAAGTGCAGTGCATCAGCATGTTTGAGGTTGAATTTAGAATTTTTTCCGGTGCCAATCTTTGTTTTGTATCGCTTCATTCAAGTATCTTCAATCATGCTAAAAAAATAATCCTTCCTGCTGATATCATTTCAGATCGAAATCGGTATCGGACAGTACTCGAGCATGCAATATTGGTATCGTATCACAAGTTGTATTGGGAACCCCTTTCGGATCTTTTTTTTGGGTGGGGGGAGGAGTCACAACTTGAAGATTGTTTTTTTTCAATTTTTTAAAAAAAAAATATTCCCTTCAGAATGACACTTCCAAAAGAGAGAAAAAAAAATCACATGATAGCGCAGTATTTTTTGAAGAAAAATAATTGTTACCATAAGGGTCTCTCTTTCTTTGGAGAGAAAAAACTAGCGAAACAATAATGTAATACTATGACAATGAAGTTGTAAATTAAAAAAAAAGAGAGAAAAACAAAAAGCGAAATCGTGAGAGTGCAGTATTTATTCACTTTAGAAAAAAAACAACCCCTGGGTCATGAAGAAATTTGGGCTTCCTGAAGTGATGTGGGTGGGGCGGGGGTGCATTGTTCCAGTGGCGCCCTTGGTGGGATTTGATGTTTTTTGGCCTCGGCGTTGCGTTGCTGGGGAGCTGACCCGCCACTGCGTCTCTTGTGGTCTCCTCGGCTGACTTTTTGATCCAAATGTTGCCCGCCTGTGACCATAAACGGTCAACGATTCAAATCCCCCACTATGGAGATGTCTTGACTCACAAGGAAGCGAAAAAAAAGCCAATCCGAAATCCACCAAAAGAGGTTTGACCCCAAACGCGCGCCTTGACGTCCGGCCTTTCCACACCTCGCCTGACCCCAAAGTCCGGTCAACAAAGAGCCGCTTGGCGTAATCCGCAGCAGATGTTTGGCGGTGTGAAGATTTTGCCGGTGAATCACAGGGAATGTGCAAACTCACCGGACGCGCAGCAGAACCGTTGCCTATCGCAACAGCTGACGTCAGGAAGTCCTGGGGCACAAGTGGGAAGGCGGAATGGCCCGTTGTTGTCAAGCGGGTCTGCGGGGTCTCGCACACGCAAGCACCGTTAGATGTGCGGGATACCGTTCATGTGTTTTAGCCTTCTTCGTAAGCTTAACCAAATCTTACTTACTCCATCCAAATGACGTTACTACTCTTGTGCCTCCCCCCCCCCCCCAAAAAAAAAAAAAAAAAAAAACATGA